ACCCGTTTCTCGGCTGCTTGTATGGAAGCAGCCCGGGGTGAGTTACTCGCTCATGAGAATTAACGGTTCAGACTAATCTTCTCCTCCATCAGCGTTCCAACCCGGTATCTCGGGAGTTCGAAGCCAAACTTTCTGCTACGCTCTGTGACATAGTACCCTCACGATCGTTTCCGCGTTCATGACCTCTAATTGTCTGGAGTCATGTTAAATGACTCATTCCTTCCATCGCCATGCCATTCCCTAGATTCCTCCATTTCGGTCGCTTGAGTCACAGATTTCCATTGCAGCTTCGGTTAGTCGGTGGTTTTTTGGGTTAGTGACAGATATTTGCAAATACAGTAATCGGATAAAAGCCCTCACTTTTTGGACTATCTTATACACGAACCGCTGTCCAGTGTACATGATATGAACAAAAGGTTTATCTGTAAAAGTTAGCTTTATACTGATTCGAATTTTTCTACTATTTATAGAAACACAGTCAGACTTACTCAGTTCAAAAATGAAGAGAAGCATTTTTCAGAAGAATTGAAGCATTTGCCAAACGCAAGTTCGGAGTGGCATGCCCTCGAGTTACTCAGTCGAAAGCCAGGTTTGAGTCAACCACTGCATAAATTTATTTTTGTTGACTTCGAACTTCCTTCAGCAAGGAAACGATCTATAATTTCTGAGGCAATCATTAGAGATGCTCGTAGCATCTTTGACAATGCACAGCAACTGTTACTGAACGCCTTGCAGTGCAATGAAAATAAAAGTTTCCAATCGTTGGAATGCCACGTCTCATACTTTCATGATGGGGCCATTTCTTGCGCCCTTCATTACATAAAATTAATCGTAGGCGCTGAACCCTATTTCCATGCCATTAGCCAGGAGTATCTTATTTTAATTGCAGAGTCGATAGTGGACATTATATCAGGCATGGTTTGTAGTCTCGCATTTTTTTCGCAGAGTGGTACTCAACAAGGAAAAAGACAGCGACCGAAGGAGCTTGAACCCGAGACCTTGAGTCAGACGGTCTCCCTGCTAAGCAATCCATAATTGCGAAGGCAATGGCACGACATACAGACTATACTATTTATCTTCCTCAGTTATTTCAGGCTGATTCTCTGATCTGGCGTATGCACACTGTTCATTTTGATCCCGCACTGGAAAATAACACCACCAACATCTGATCATGAA